TAAGGTGGCCAGTAAACATATCAAATTTCTGGCTAACATTTTAGTGTTTTCATAATATCTTGCCTTAAACAATTAATAGAGAATTTAACCGCTTAAACTATTTATTTTTCAGTTATAATTTGATCGTTGTGAATACAACACATAATTTAAAATAACAGCGAAACGCTTTTTTGGTAACACTTTTTTCGGTTATGTGCCAGAGCTAAGACATCGCCATCCCCATTCCCCCCCCCCAACCCCATCCCTCATCACTAATCTCTTATCTCTTATATCTTATCAGACAACAGCGTAACGCTTTTTGGTAACAAGTTTTTCGTCACGTCAGTTTTCGTGACAAGTTTTTCATAACAGTTTTTTCGGTTATGTGCCAGAGCTAAGACATGAAAATGTCAAAAAAATATTTACAAAACGTTTTTAAAGTATTCTGTTAAAACGTTTCTACAGAATATACAGAATGATCGTTATTTATTTTCAAGTAATTTTTCTTAGGAAACAATCATTGTTTTAGCTAAAAATATCATTTTATTATAATTAAAGATTGATTTTAATTTTTTTAAATAATACTTTTTAATATTTTAGCTTAGATTATTATTTTAAAGATTAACGTTTCAAAACCAATTTGTAACTCATATATGTTTACTGTTTAGTAATTTTGTTTATTCAAAATATGATGCCCGATAAATAATGACAAGTCGATAACCTGTTTTGACTTATAAATTCTTGAGTTATTACTTTTTACTTTTTGGCGGGAAGGGGCTTAAATGTCAGTTTTATCAACCCGCACTTCTCTCCCCAACTATATTTTTAAATGTTAACAACTTATTAAGTATTTAATCAAAACTGGTTATCGACTGCAGTCATTATTTTTAATACATATTTCTTGTTCAAATAAACAAATAAAATATATGACTTACTCTTTACACTCGCCCTACTCTTAAACTACCTTTTAAAATAATAATTAATTATATGCTCACTGTGTGACAATTACTACACACTCACTGCTGTAGACGAGATAGAATAGGACCTTTTTATTAATCTTCTTTCTGCCTCCAAAAAAAGAGGAAACAGCTGCTGGGGCTATTAAGTCCCAGAAAAGAAACCTAAATAATAAATTACTATTTGCATCAGTCTTTGATAATGTTGGAAAATATTTTAGGGTTGAATAAAAACAGTATGGTTAAACCAGAATACTTGGAGTTTAAAAGTATTGTGCCTAAAGTGTTATACAAATTGTTAAGTCGAAGAGCCATTGTGAAATAATGGAAAAACTGAAGACGTGACAAGTAGAATAAAGTGTGTTCAATGAGGCGAAATATAAGACATAATGAAATACAAGTATAACATATACAAGTATATTATAATAAGTTAAATATTACAAATTATTGTAGAATTTCGATGAAACAATCTACAACATTTTTTTTATTTTAAAACCAATGTGAAGCTGTTTAGTACTAACTAATATTATGATTAAGCTATTAAAAAGTATAAAAAATAATTGATATCCTTTAAAACTAGTATCAGCACAACGTCGATTTAGATCAAAATTAAACAAAACATTTTTCACCTTGTGGCCTTGTGTTTTGTGCGAACTCGTTTTGGGAATGTATCTGTAGTTCTAGAATATTGATTAAATAAGTCCATTAATAACTTGTCTAATACAATAGGAATGTATGTGTGTGTTAATAAAAGCACATAAAGAGTCCATTGAACTGTTGTTTTTTTTAAACAACCAGAAATTATTTGCTCAGTCTTGCCCTTGTATATTTTTCCAATTTACAGGAATGTGAAATGTTAGTATTTAAAACAATAGTTTTAAAGTGTACTAGAACAAATAAAAGTTTCTCGAAATCGCCTATTTCGTAGGTCATTTGCCTTTCCCTAATAAATAAATTTGTTTTATTTTATTGTGATACATTTATAATCAGTAATTTTCAGATTGTGAGGTTTTCGTTTTAGTAAAATAGAACATAATATTATTGTGAACAACTTGATATATTTAATATAATTAAAACTGTAATGATTAGAAAATATGCTAATAAATCAATTTACATGTAATAAATATTTCCTCTTTTTACTCTATTATTATTATGTACATAATAAAATAATATAATATACATAATTATTGTTTCGTTTATGTGGTTCGTAGCGCCATCTAGTGGTACCAGTAAACGTTTTAAAATTTATCGTTGGAATAATAATGTTAAGAGTTAGTTAGTAAAAGAGAAAGATATTTTGAGAAATAAAAACAAAAACGTTTAGTGATTTGACATGCCGGTCCAATTTGTATGAGACAAGAAAAATCAGGAAACATAAAACACTAAAACGACCAGTCTTTTTCAGGATTAAAAATATTATTTTGACTTTATTTAATATTTCTCAGTTACACGAAAATTAATAGCATTGTTGCCAGATTGCAAAAGGAATCGATAAATTTATATGAGCTCTTAAATTAAAATTTAATGAAATACATACTATCAATTCTACTTTACTTGAAATTTGTTTATCTTCGTTATTAAAAACCAAAAAACACATATGTTTCTAACTTTTACCAAAACATAATACATTCGACTTCCGACAGATTCCAGTTAGTCGAGAAATGTTAATAATATGAACGCCGCAGCTAAGATTCTAATAAAACAAATAATAATCTTGTTTTTTAATTAAAAAATTATGCATTTTGTTTTGACTATTAAAAACATTATTGAAGTGGCGTTAGTTAACATTCGCCCACAGTTAGGCCACACAATTGACACTCGTGTGGAGGTCAGGCGAAACACTTACATTGTTTTTTACAACAGTTTTTTGCGAGTATTGTAGTTTTATTTTAAAAAATTATCTCGTTTTACTAAAGTTAGGCCAGATTTTCGTTAGTCATCCCATTTTAGAGCACTTTTACTTCATGGAGATTTACCGGGATTCGGTTTTCTCAGCTACATAGGGTACAGCCGACTTTTGTCTATCGTCATAAAAAGGAAAACAAGCGGTTCATTCGTTATAATTATTGCGGTGGGTTAAATTGTCGAAACCACATTATGCATCTTGCCCACGGCGATACAACGATATGTCAGAGAATTCATTTTATTTGCATTTGCTCAGTACACAAATAATTAAATACACACTCTTGTAAGCATTTCGGCTAATGCCAGAACTTGTGCGCACTAACTTACGGTTAATTTGTCCCATATCGATCCATGCGCTCAAAGCACGGCCATTCGAATTTACTTAAGTCGTTTTCCAAACAGCTAATCGAAAAACATGCACTTGACGGCGACGACAAAGCAAAGGCACGCACTTTTTAAAGAGTTCCATTCAAAATTAACAATGTATTCACTCTTACAATTCATATCACGCAAAGTAATAAAGAAATATAAATAAATCCTAAAGGCTCGGTTGAGGTGTTTGGTGAAAATATTATAAGTACCTACTACTCTATGTACGTACTTTGCGTCCAATTTGTATCCAAACTCGTTTTTAATAACTTTTGTAATTCCACATTGGCTTTTTTACAACAAAGGACTGAAATCAATTCATCTAAAGTTGTAAGGTTTATAATAAAGACATATTATTACAATATATTTCTGTGAATAATATTTAATTTCCTGTCAAAGTGTGATGTAAAAATTATGTATTTTACAATGAATTATTATTGAAATATAATATTGATTTGTAGATTACATTTGGTATTACATTTTAGATTACTTATATTTGATCGTTTATTTGTAAAATAACGTCCAATAACGATAACGGGAAAAAAATTAAAAATAATAATTACAGTTGTTTGATAACAAAAATTATTGTGAATTTAAGAACGTCAAAAAACCCTTAGAAATGGGTTTGGATTTTTTTTTTTTTTTTTGAATGAGTTAAATCAGACTTGAACAATTAGGTTATTATCTTACAATTAGACAATTTTTTTACTAATATTCACAATGTTAAATTAATAATATAAGCATTTGTTCGTCTTAACAATTGTTTTCGTAGTGTTGAAACGTAAACGTATTCGTTTTAATATGAATACTCGTTGTTTTGAAATTTACTTTGTCATATATTAATTATTATCGAGCATAATGGGTGCTGCAATAACTCCTTCTTTTGTTAGTGTCTCACTTGCAGTATATAAACGAAATTAATTAAAACCTATTAATATCATGCATGATTCGGTTCAGTGATTTAATGTGAAAGTGAACCTCACAGGCTCATCGAGTATATACATTATAATGTGTAAAAAATATCAGTTTGGTATCTAAGATATTACTATGTTAGTTTTACGACGAATTGATAGTTCATAATTTTATGTTGATTTGGAAAAAAAATGGTTTCCCTAATTTTATTGTTTCGAACAAATTACGACCAGTGTTGGTTGAGGCGAATAGAAAATAACAAGAATATACTTTTGAGTCGGTAAAATACATTTCTGTTTTAAATTAAACACAGCTAATTAATAAAACAACGGGCGTTAGTTCATCGGAGCTCTTAAATGACAATCCTGTATAGTGTAGTCTATCCACAAATAGGTCAAATGATACGTAGTAGCCACACCGGAAACCACGAAATATATTGTTCTTACAATTAGTGTCAACTGTCACGAATAATTTATTGAAAGGAACAATAGATTAGCAAAACGAAATTGTATTTATGAGTGTAATACCTATGGTTTAACTTTTTGTAAGCTCATTCTCAAACATCTTGCTAAATATGTAGTTGCTCCAATAGATGTAAAAACCGACTCAACTGCTACAGAAATAACTAATTTAAACAATATTCTTGTTACGTGTGTGTGGTTCACTGTACGACAACGCATAAAACAGGGGACGCAATTATTGTAGAAATTTGGAACATATTAAATTTATTTTGTACACTGTGAACGGTTAAACAAAGTACTTGTGGTTTGCTGGAACGCGCGATTCGGATGAATTATAATCGCTTTCAATGAAGGGTAAAAAAAACTGTTAAAAATTGTTCATAAAAAGTTGGGAAAATAGACTTAAATACATCACGGATACAACATAAAAAAGATGTATTTTTATTTGACTGGTAGAAAAAAACAATATCGACGTCACATAGCTAATTTTATAAATAATATGTCTTAAAATAAACGGTTTTTGAATACAAAAGATTAGGAATAAGTTACTTGCCGGAGTAGACTACATTACAGCTTTGCCTGTTTACATTCGCCGACGTATAGGCAACATAAGTTACACACAGGTGTTTAAAAAGCAAATGAAAGCACATATTATAAAAATAATAAAAATATACACAAAAGTATTTATTACTTAAAATAATAATTAATATTATATTATTAATATTTATATACAAAAAAAAAAAAAAATCGAGTATATAAGTATTATTTCTCCGGTTCAGCTAAGTGTGATAACAAAGCACACAAGTTACCCGGAGAGACAATGCAATCAATTCTGTACTCGAGAGCTATACCATGATAAGAGCAAAACTTAAATTTTGACGGTTAAATTGTAATAAAAGGTGGCTGGAACTTGTATTTTCTTAAAATATAACTACAGTAGCTCACAACTCCGTCATAAGCTACAGCATATTTTTTGGAATTTTTTAAAGAAACTGAAACGCAAAAATAATAAATAGTAGTGATAAGCAAAAATTTGTTTGCCATTTCATGTTGATTGTTTTAAATTAAATCTTTATTTTGTATCCGTTTATGGAATTTACGGTGAATATTATGTTGTATGAGATGTTTAACGGCTGTCCTGAAAGGTTGTTATCAAATTTTTTACTCTGTAAAGTTTAAAGTACAGTATAAAATAAAATGCTGTACTCATAAATAATATAAATTGAATGTTGGACGAATGAGGTCGATTTGTTGACAACCTAGATCTGTTGGTGCAGACAAAGAGCCGTTTTGTACCGGTGTTTAGATGGACAGCGAAGGATTTCAACTGATGGTGGACAGCGCTACGGTGACTACGCAGAACCCTGTGATGGCCAACGTTGTCCACGTCGATGGTAGTAAACCATTGGACGCGTCGTTGGTGTCTACGGCGGACGTCGTCGACGGTGTCGGCGGTGCCGTAGGAAGGGTAGTGCCGGGACAAGCCTTGCCGGCGACCAGTTCGTCCCGGTAACCGGCCAGACTCATGTCGTTGGGCCGCTTACAATAATTGTCGACCAGTAACCCGGCGAAACGGCTGTCGTCGGCCTCGGGCAACAGACCGGGGAACACCTGGTTGAGCTTGAGCACGCTGATCCGTCGGGAATCGCAGTCGCACTCGAACTGATTGTTCGACACCCGGACGTTGGGGCCGACGCCGAACAGGAACGGGCCCAGGTCGACGTCGCGCACTACGTTGTTTATGAACGACACGGACCGGTCCGTTTTGAACAGTTGCAGGTCAGCCGGTAGAGTCATGAACTCATTGCTGTCCACCATTATTGTGCTCGCGCCGGCGCCGGCGGGCGGAGAACGGACTACGGACAGGCTGTCGCCGACCAGCGACACGTTTCCCAGTCGATTGCCCGAAAGGCGGATATCTTTGGCGTCTTCGACAATCACCGAACCGGCGTAAAGCTCGTCCATGGTACTGTTGATAATCTTCACCGAGCCCGAACGAACCAGTACTCCTCCAGCGCCAATAGTTTTGATCTGTAAAAAGCATAATCTGTTAAGTCCCGTCCAATAATTTAGAGTTGTATTACAAAAAATCACTACCACTGTAATGTGTACAATTATTAATGATTAGTGACACGAGCCAAACGAACGAATTCCCTAAGCGTGTTCAAACATAAAAATAACACAAGTTTTAATCGTTTTTTGAAAGTGCTCGAATTTTAGAAAAGCTGTGATCTGGATCGAGCTCAATTTTTAAACGTGGAACCAACGACTTGAGGGGTTGATTTAAAAAATAAACTTTATCAATACCAGTATAGATTGCCGTTATTAAATAAGTTGTTCTTTTTGTAGAAATTATATGGTTAAAAAAACAAATGAGGTTTATTGTGCAACTTTAAGGAAAGGTTACAGAAAATAATTTTAAGTGAAAAGCATAGCAAAGCTCTGTCGTGTATTTGTAACTGAAAGTTAACTTTTAACATTGTACATTTCTATAATCTCCAAAGAATAAAGGTGTAAAAAAATATTTTAGATTTAAATTCAACGAGAGTTCAATAAACGATTGAATAAAGATTGAATATTAATATATTGTGACGGTAATTTTTTTTTTTAAATCTGAACAGCAAGAAATTTGTCCTTGTAATCCTTGCGGTCCTTGTATAAAACATAAAATAATAAACTTTAAATTGTATAGCATTGTTCTATTGCCAGCGTCTCATTCGTTATTATAGTCACGCTTGTTTTTTAAACCATGTAATACATTAATATTTTTTCTTACACAAACAGTACACGCTGTTCATTTAGTCTGGTCAACTGTAAGAGCAGCTTTTTTAATTTATTTACTATCGTAGAAATAAAGCATTGGATTTGTCTATTATTTACAGGAACATCAACGCCTGTTGCCTACTGTATTGGAATTTTTGTGCCGTTAAATGAGTATTAAAAATTAAAATACATTTTGAACAAATCAAGCGTTTTCCAGACTACATTAGAATAATATTACAAACGGTTTGCATTTGTCGTTTTGTCAGCACACGAATCGTCTAAATTAAATTAAACAAAATACAGAAACCGTGATCAGAATAGCAATAAAACGAGTTCAGACTTCATATACTAAAAATATACCCCTCTAAAATACATTAAATTAAATTGAAAATCATTGGGGCTATGTTAGACAATATTATAGTTATCTCGTATAATACTAGACTGAAAATAATTGGATATATTTATCCCTTCAGTACAAAATATTGTTTTATTTACCAAACTGTTGATACCATGTTTTCGTTTTTTAGACAAATATTAATTGTCGGTACCAATAACCTCTTTTTTTAATTCGCTTAAAATGTTTAAGTTGTACAATACATTTTGCTTTGTCCGAAACAATTAATGAATATTTTGTTTCTTGTTTTTGCCATTTATTGATTTAACGACATAATAATAAAATGAATTGGTAAAGTTTAAGCAACTCATTATAAATGGTTTCGTGTTGTTCAGAACGGTATATACACTATTTTGCATTAAAATACAAGGGTTAAAGTCAACGAGTTATGTAATAGTTATTATTCTTGGAGTCGTATTGTATTATTACATTTTTTGTAAGGAATTCTGTTCTGTTATGTCGTTCCGTATTGTTTCATACAAAATGTAATCGTGCAACGAGTCAAATCAGAATGTTATTTTCTTGTGACAAGTATAAGACCTTCGGGCAAAGGGCACACCGGTACGTTTCGTAATAATACTAATATTATTAGAAATAACTCATTTCGAGAAAAGTTATTTTCATTATTGTTTTGTTATAACTTTCAAAGCGATACACTTTCGACTTTGTTCGGGCGAGCCCTTTGTCAATTATATCATTTCTAAAGAAGATATTTGCACGACAGATGTAAAAAGCTAAACAAACGAACACAAACTTAATCGTTCCGAGAAACAGACAATGTTACTCGACTGTGGATAAATATATATATATATATTTGATTCGTTGCTTCTAGACAGAAATAATAATAAGAATCGTTCCTGTTAAAAAAAAAATAATAATACATATTATTTAGACAACGTAGAACGTTTGCTTGAACGATGTTGCTCAATGTAAACACACTTGAGAAAATTCGTTCCGTAAATCAATCATGGCGCAGATCAACCGACCGAAAATAATTTCACCGGTACTCGTAATATTGTTTTCATAATATTATTATTATTATTATTATCATATGCTTAACAGCAGCCAAATATTATCTATTAATATAACAATATATATATATATTGCAATTAACGAGAAAAGCCCTATATTTTACGAAATAGCATACATACTAAATAATTATGTTGTTGTTGTCATAAACTATTTGAACAAATTATTGGTCTTTCTAAAACGTTGAGCCATCCCAAGCGTCGAAGAATCTCTTAGGCATTCTTATAATCAACCTAAACATTTTTCTACATTCGAGACCTTCCTGACACAAAGACCTTGTGCTATTATTGAGATTACTTGGTTAATCCATTAGTTATGATTAGGGCAGAGGACTTAAAGCTCTAAAAAACACTTAATATGCAAGCACCTATGCACTTAAAAACACTAAAATATAAACTATTTATATGCTTTAAAATTTTTTTTAGCGATTTAATTAAACAAATTAATTACTTTAATAAAACATTTAAAATAAGAAAAACAATTACTGACTAAATTAAACTATATGTATATGCTGCTATACTATGAGTCCACGACCAATAAAAGAATAAAAACTTTGACTTAATAAAACTTTTACTATTTATTGACTTAATTATTCTGTAATTAATGTATAATTTATTAAAGATAGGCATATTGAATAATTTATTTTTTTATTTTAATAATTTGATATTCATTCTTCTGACCCTAAAAATATATTTCCAATATTTTAGACATTTTTTACTGCTTATTGTTTTGATAAATTATTTTTAAAGAAAATGTTCAAAAAATCCCCCTAAAAAGCATATATAACTTAAAAATGCCTCAAAAAGCAAAAAAGACCTAAATATGCAACATAAAATTACAGATTTGGCTTTGTCATAACCTAAAACGAATTTCTTTATGGTTGGCCTTTTTATACGGCTGCGCAAAACCAATATGCAAATGCTAGAAGTCCTCTGCCCTAGTTATGATCATCAACGGCCAACTGATTACTTATCATGAAGTGTACATTGTTGGTTAACGTTAAAAATGATTTGATTGAGTATTTCTGTCGGGAAGTTCCGATTAGGTATTAGACGGGATACTTAATAAAAGATACCCGGTAGGATTTATTGTATTAGGAAAATATGGACATTTTGTACCATTTGAATTCCTCGTTATTCGACGAGTGTAACTTGACATTGGGTTGCCAAAATTTCCAATAATCAGTTGGCGGCCACGTTGGTGAATCGTCGACGGTACAAAAGCAATTCGCAAATTACATCCTCGACAAGATAAGACAACTGCTATCCGGGAAAACTAACCAAACTCTAACGAAGAATCGAGCGCGGTAAACGGTTCTGGTTTTCGTTAGTCTGATTCTAACCCTCTCCGACTGTCTTCTAAAATGTTGTCACAACGGGTTTGCTCAAGTTTCCTTGGTCACCGCATAGCTGTAATATTATCTTCGGAGTAGACTTATGAAATAAAAACGCCGTTAACTCGTTTTGGTTTAGATTGTCTTTGTCCAAACGCCAACGAAAATCAATGAATGTTCTCACGTTCGCCGGTCGCGTTGCCCGCCATCTCCTTTTCCGTTTGGTTTCCAAAACCCTATGACGATTATTATCATACACGTTAAGCATTCAGGTCGCGTTGAAAAAAACACAAACCAACGATGCCGCCGCCGAAGTTTTTTAATAATTATCATTGTTGTGCATCCAAGTCTTATAAAGTATGCGACGTCACGAGCGGTATGCTTGCCCGTTCTTAGGCGTGTGTGTTGGCTAGCAAACACCGCGAGTTTGTCGAGAAATATCGCTGTTATTATTATTACCATATATTGGGCATCAGCTTCCGAAGACAACCAGTTAAAAACGCACAGTATTTTTAAAATAAAATAGATATACCATTTGCAATGATTACCAAAATTTAATTGCACGTCTAATATTGGGTAGAGACCAATTATAATTGGGAGGGCGATGACGGATGTTGGCTACTGAAACAGTTTGCCGGGATGTCGTACGAATGGAATATTGTTTTTTTTTTTTATGATCGTCCCAATGAATAAATCTGGAAGACAGGTGGCGAAGTCAGTAGTCGTTTTTTTTTTTTTAAATTTAATATCCTGAGATTTTTTATCACTATAATTATTATTAGAAATATAACCGGTATGTGATGGACCCCCACAACAAAGAAAAAAAAAAGGATAAATCGTTCTCGACCGGGACCGCGTCACCTTTACTTAGATGACGAGACGATAATCCTAAAAGTGACCCTGTGTAATCTTTTTCCATTATAGGTACCTACATCAAACGTGTTTCTTTTAGTGTGGGCACCTACTAACAATAACGCTTCACATTAAACGTCAAAACTGCATATCAATAAGAAAGGGAGGGGAAGCTGGATCAGTGCAATAATATACTGTATTGTGGTACCTGCGTGTTCTATACTTGAATCCGTACAACCGAGAGATCAAACCGAAGATAGGGCCAATTGAAGTGAGACGTAAGTGCGTAATCAAATGAATAATGGACGAATAAAAATACGACTCTCAATAGTAAAATAATTAAACATTTTTTATTTGAATTCAAAGATGTCCTTAATAATTATAAAACGTTAACGGGTTATACGATTTAATCACGAAAATCGTTGTTTTTTTGTTTATTGCATTTACATTTTACTTATTCGTCTACTCCACCTGACGACCCTAATTAAAATATATTAAAAAAAAAAAATGATATCAGAATTTTCCAATGCTCCAAAACAATTTATTTGAAAATTATAAATTTTTTCAGATAATAAATAAAATATTTAGTTTGTTTCTTGGACATTATTCCGATCATATTAAGAGCTGATAAAAATTACACATAGATCTAAATACAATAATTAAAATATATACATGTATAAAAGTTCACAGGTCGGTTAACAAATAATACTACATTGTTTTGATAAAAACTTAATAACATTGTTCCAGTTATAGTTATAACCGCATAAACATTTTTTGTCTTAACACAGCACGCACACCTTTATATTGAATCCTTTAATATTGAGTTATCCCATTAATTAATAAGAAACGCTTGTCGTAAATCGTAATTAAATAGAATTGATTATACGACTTGGTTGTGTACATCTTCTTATGTAGTCAAACATCCAAAACATGTATTGAATTTCAAACAAATTACAACGTACTCGCCTAAGTTTGGAAGCAAACAAAAAAGTTTTAATCAAGTTTATGAGACAATTTCATTTTAGTGCGACATCATAAGAGAGAGAGAGAGAGCTTTCGGTAATTTACGTTATCGAGTCTCGCCATACCTTTTTGCACGTCTCATTCCATTCGTTTAAAGTTTGTACTTCGGTTATTGAACGACTAAATTTTAGTTTTCAAACCGTACGTTCAAACGCAATTCGTTCTTTTATGTGGGACAAGCGAATCGGGCTGTTTACTTTTTATTAAATATTGTACATACGTTAACTATGATGATAACACAGTACATTATTATTGGCAACTCAATAATAAAACGAGCAGACGTACAGCTTAATAATTTACTACGGCATAGAGTACAAAACGTTCGTTCTTTTTATACTAAAACACATGGATAAACATTTATTTTATAAGATGTAAAAAAAGCATTAGATTTAGCAATTCAATTTGATCGTCGCAACCGAGTAGAAATTATTTTCAAATTTACTATAACGATTCTCATTTCTCCCATCCCCCTTGTTGTTTATTTACTACACTATATTATGTAAGCACACAATTAAGTGTACACGTGCATACAAGTATACAACATACATATTGATTTTTCTATTTAACCACCTATGGTATTGAGTTGGTTTTGAGGGTATTATACTTCCATGCAACACTGTATTATTGTCTAATACATCAAGTACAAAATAATAATATTTGTTATTATCTCTTGCGGTGTAGTTTAATGCGCTCGATCGACGGAGTAAAAGACCTATCCTATGGTACGTACAATATGCATGTATGAACCCACAACAAGGCAAATGTTTATCTTGATTCATCATATTTTTTTTTTTTCAAACGGTATACGGAGCCCACGCCAAGTCAACACACAAAAATACATAATATTATATTAAAAACAACATTTGAGAACATCGAGTCATCATATTTTACATTACATACACAAAATACATATTACACAAGTAACATACACGAGTGTGACAGGTGTTTCCATAGACTTTTCAGTGCCTCAATTGTCACGGGACCTAACCATCATTTCACATATACGAGTTACGTAAGTACTGGTATGTAAAAATCGTATAGTATGATAATTAATATTCATGAAGATCAAATAATTTTTAAAAAAATAGTATTTTTTTAGTTAACTCATGAAAACTGTATTTCATATATTATAGTGTGCCGTTGAAATAATAATATCGAAAAATCCCGCTGTTTACTCTTCGGCAATAATAAAACGATTTCCTCTCATCTTACTTCGAGCTCGCCGGCAAGCTCTCATGTATGTATAATTCATATTTGCTTTTCCCAAAGGCCTACCGACGTAGAAAATATAAACGCAAGCATTTATTTTGCCGAGTAATAGGTTCTTTGCCCTAATGTTATGGATCCCACTTGCGTTTAAGCCCTTTAGACTAATTTAGATATTGCAAGTATAACTTTACTATTATTTCCGGGCGTTGGTTGTTCTTGCATCTCAACCGAACGATCAATCGCTGTAACGATAGAACAATAGGGTTTTGTGGAGGAGTGGATCTGGCTGGCCGACTTTATTTGTGTGCGATATGACAAATAAGATAAACTGAAAATTAAGAACAATAATAGAGATAAACATCCATCGTCGAGCAATCGATACACTAGCAATTTTGCGGACTAATAAAATATTTAAAGTCGAACGTGCGACATGATTAAAAAAAAAGCTAAATCTGACAACAATAATAGTCAAGGTCCGTCCTATCAACGATTTTAAGTTAATAATCAGTATACACAACGCCCATAAGGCCACTATATGATATAAACAACATCGACCTTAAATTAATACACTAATAGATTAATAATAAATAGTTAATACTGTTTTAACAGAACTAAAGGTATGTTACTCGATAAGAAAACACGATTTTCAGTCATTTTGATTTGCAAAAAAACCGATAAAAAGGCCTAATAAAGGTAACCAGTTTTAAAAAATAGGCCTATTAGAGTAGGTGACATTTGTAGCAACGGGTAAAATAACAATATATTATAAGGTTATATGTATATTTAAGTGCTAGAGAGCCACTACGGTGTGTTGATAATTCGATTAGTGTATAAAAAATTGAAAACTTGACCGAATGTTACAATTATTATTGGAAAACAATACCGTTCCGCGTTAGATCGGAGTACGCGACTAAAAATGAAAAATAACTGAAACAATTGTAACGCGTTATAGAAATCGTCACGGGCGAGGATCGCAGATAATTAAAATTAAAAAAAAAATAATAATAAAAACCATTCGAAATAATAATAATATTATCATGTCCTTTTAGCTTCAGTGTCCCGTTTTCCATTGACCTCTTCTATCGATCAGCTACGCATCGTAAGAAAAAAATAACCGTATTGTCTAAAACAATGCACTCGGCGACTCTTTCCAAACCGACACATCCACCGACCGCGGTAAGGCAGCACATTCAATACAATTTGTACAATATAGTGAAACAGTTTTACCAATACACTGCGTTATTTTGTATGCAAACGGCTTATATATAAGTCGCTGTTCTATGCAGTCATAACATTGTGTGTTTAACCGTTGAGCTGAGCGAGGTCAAGTTCAAGAGTGTTATAAATTATAACATAGTTTCGGATTAATCGCATGATGGACTCTGCACGTCATTTATTCAATCACTGGGATGCGCGTAAATGTTGTTTTGTCGAGATCATGCAATTATTTTCCCTTGATAATTACTCAGATGTAGACGACGTGCCGCACATCCGATTTGATAACGTTGCTATGAAATCCGTCTATTCTAGTTGTCTATTCTGGGAAAGCGGCCGTGTCCGATTTGATTAAAAATGTTTGAGGCACAAATAAATGTTGTAATTAATTTCCATAACACTTTAAGTCTAAACAATCCCGCTTTGTTGGACGCCGACTCGGTAGTCCTTAACTGACGAAAAGAGGATATGTTGTGTGTAAAAATAAATACTTAAAAGACTTTGACTTCGGTTGGTTATTTTTAAAACAAATGGTTAAAATTATATACGTTTGTATATTGTTTCAATTCAAGAACACACAATGAATAGCTCTTTCGCGCTCTTAAATAACGAGGCGTGTTTTTTTTAAATAATATGCACTGCTGATAAAATATAAAACAAATTATTTTATTCCACAAAACAACTGTTCTCTGTTTAGAATACAAAAATATACTATGCCCTAGGCGGCAGACACCGAGCTTAATGAGGTACAATCTTTTTAGCTTAACTTTTGCGGTTCACCGCTCAAACCGTATAGTAGGTCTTCACTGAAAATAGGAAATAATATCTATGAAAATCTGTTAGGGTAAGATAATGTTTGCTGTAGATCTAACGTATGTTAAAGGTAATTACAAAAATCCAGACCAATCGTCTACAAAAAACGAATTTGTGAGATCACGGATCACTTGACGTTTCCTGTGAAATAGCAATTCCTATTTAGTTGTGCCACGTCGAGGTATTTTATAAAAATATATACCTAACAATTATGTATTGCAAAAAAATGTGGAAAAAAAATTGTATTTTTGTAAAATTTGCTCTTAGTTGGTATGTTTGACGTCGGTTATTATTCAATTGAAGTGCAATTATTTCTATATAGTTGGTCAATTATATTATTAGCTGTTCCTAAAACACAAAGTACCGAGTATTTTGTATACGACAACAAAACGTATGGACGATACTTTTCCCATTGTGGTTGCAGCTATAACAAGTGTATACTGTTGTGAGTATTCTCCTAAATTACTTTTTTTTGTTCAACGTTCTTTGACCTACAATTCTTGAACTAGTCGGTTCAATGTTGCCATTGTGACGGCAGTACACTAATTTAAGTGAAACGCACTTTTTTTTTTAGTTTTACATATTATTGTTCTACTTGCCGCAGAGTTGACAATAGAAAATCCGTCCGATTCGCCTCGGACGAAAGTCATGTCCAGTGCACCGGCTTCGATCTCATCCACGTCCACTCTGTCGAGCATGACCTTCTGGAGCGGCGCTGAAGCAGGTATAGTGCCTCGGACCAATCTTTGAACGGAAGTCCGGCGGAGAACCAGTTGCTTTAAGGTGCGGTTAGCCGGTCCAAAACCGTCGAGGACCAATCCGCCGACATCCTCGACCGTGAGGCTTTCCAAGGCCGGGAACAGGCCGGCAGTGTAATGGAACAATTTCATGTCCCGCACTGTGACCCGACTGAGCAGTGGCGAACCCGAAAGTCCGGACGATGGCAACGACACGAGTCCACATCCGGCCAACGTTAAATCCCTGACGCCCGATAATAGCATCGTATCCTGTTCCCGAATAATCAGAAACTGTAAAATAAAAAAAAAAATACAATTAATATCACGTTGGAACATCATAACGATGCGCTAATATGTCCAAGTGAACCTAGTGTGGAGCTTCGAAAAAATATATGTCGGTGGAGATCTATCTAAAACATAATGATGTCGATACAAAACCGTTAACCATGTAGATTAAATTTAAATGTATTCATTTTTTACACAAGAACCACAATACAGTTTGCCTTTGCTGAATAAAAACTTGGTCAAATAATAATTTCAACGTGTTATGTATAGACTAAACAAATGTCTGGCATACGTTTTAAAATAATCGTTTATTGAATTTAGTACTAGTGTCAAAATTCTTAGGCGAGAGGTCAAAATTTTAGTTTTAAGTCTTACAAATCTTTTTTTTACACTCATTCAAATTGAATTTCTCTAATGACCGACCACAAGAATAATTATACAGGGTGATTATTATTTATCATGAACCACTCAATGTCTCATAGGGATAAATAAGAAATTAAAATATTTTTTTTCATATTGTTGTTATACAATGTGATCTCAATTTTTCACAACTTTTTGAAGTGATACTTCTTTAGGCGCATCGTATGGGTAGTTAACCCGTGAAACGAGCGAACGAGAAAACGAAGTCCACTGCATCTGCCGTATAATAGTACAAAATGCATTCAAGTTGCGAAGACGTTAATGATCAACCCCCACTAAAAAAAACATTTTTGTTTTTTCCAATTTAATACTGTTTTAATTAATATACAAATCCTTACATTAACATATCTTATATTACACAATTTTTATACACACAATTTTTTTTTACCCCCTCCCAACTTAGTTTTTTTGATAGCAACTTTTGAAACTTAAACGGTAACTTATATATTTTATTAACTTTTTAAGTTGAGAATAATGTACTAAAAATTTTGACTGTCGATATCCAGTTTCGGATAATTATTTAGGAGGAAAGGTGGAGTGTAGTATTATTTTTATCTGCGCTCATTTTCCAACCGCACCTACCCTCCCATCTTAACTTTAAAACTCTTATTACTTTAAAAATAGTTATCCAAAACTGGTTATCGACCAGTCAACATTTTCAGTACATTATTCTCAATTTAAAAAGTTAATAAAATATACATGTTACCTTTTAAGTTTCAAAAGTTGCTATCAAAAAAGCTAAGTTGGGAGGGGGGTAAAAACATAAAAAAATTGTGAAAATTGACATTACATTGTAAAACAACAATATGAAAAAAAATATTTTAATATCTTATTAAACCCTATGAGATATTGAGTGGTCATGATAAAAGATGGTAAAGTTTTTATGAAGCGTAAACAATATACAAAACCATTTAACTTTTGAATGTTTTAATTATTTCGTATTTTTTTTATTTTGGTCCTCTGAATTTTAAATGCAGAAGACAATAAAATATGAAGGCATCGACACTAAATTGATTATTAACTAGTAGACGGCTAACAACGACTTGATTAGAAATGATAACTTATTAAAAGTGCAACATTATTTTTATTTTACTCTTAGCGAAATTCACCCTGGTTTGAATATTAAATGTTACTTGCAAGTTTCATCGCTTAAATTAAGTATCACTATTTTTATAACAACAATTTATTACGGTTTCCGATGTAATTTAGCAACTCTAGAAATAATAAATATAAGGGCTCTCTTTCCCTTGAAAATCCAACATTAATAATGACATATTTGCAGAAACTATAGAATAGCGAGGCCTGCGATTCATCACGTAACGAGCGATAAAAGCAATATGTCATTTTTTTCTAAATAGTCACGTGGTTTTGGATTAGTTATTTTCTCTCGAAACGAAGAATTATTGAAAATTATCTAAGTATTTTTCGTTTTATTTTTATTTACTAAGTTTTACAATTCATATTTTTCTATTGTATGAACAACTTACTGTTAAGAATCATCTTTCGAATTGTATACATAACACCATAATTTAGCGGGTTCTACATAGTAGTAATAATATTATTATTCTTTTATCATTATAACTCTCGCTGTCGTATGGACCGTAGTACGATCCGGATCCTGATAAATTCCAATGTCAGCCCGTACAACAGGCTGGGAAGTGTTCACTGTTTACAGGTCGGAGGGTTTTCAAAAAGTATTTACCCCTTTCTTGAGAGAAGGCGGTTTTTAGTATTTGTTTATACGTCGTGTATTACACCTGTGAACTGTAACCCGTCGGTACCTAATCCGGTTCCATGGCCTGGGACGCACGCACCGAGTTCTACGACAGCTTAGTGATTTGTCAGTGTAGCAGCGTGCTGCAATGGCTGCGGATGATACCTTTATATTATTATATTACACACAATAATAATAAATCAAAAGGAATGATAAAATCCGAACGGGAGGAAACGTTCAAATGGACCTAATGATTTACGATGGTAACGTCCAGGGATAGTCTACTTACCGCATTGTCCTACAACAATATTCACTTTGATTAACGTATGACCCGCGTGTGTCATTGATCTATTAATCATATGCACTTGCGATGACGGTAAAAATCGTAGCAAGAATTTTGTTTGAAGTATTATTTCAATCGAAAAACGGTAAAAAGTGGGATTCCGTGTCACTAGTTTACTTTGTCTCCAAGTACACAGTATAATAACTATTTATATTATAAAAACATTGAATCACAAAATGCAGACAGAAAACCTAATTTACCGAACGATAGTGTAAGCATTGTTTGTTAGTTTAAAAATGATAAGTTTCAATTTTTATATTCTAGCGAGATAGTATTAACACAGTTGTCGGCAGTCTATACATAATAAATTATCTATTGGAACTTAGAAGAAGCAAGCTGTTGTCTGTAAGTTTATATTAGCTCAAACATTAGTAGTATGTTCATTGTACCAACATGTTCATAAAAAATATATATTGTATTGTATATTGTATTGTATTGTACACGAGATGATTTGGAAAAATAATTACATTTAATAGTATTAACAATTAATACCATAATATAACATAGGTATTTAAAGTGAAATAACAAGAGCTCGTTGTAACTAGTTAGTTTATATAAGAAATATTCGAGGGATAAGAAACTAAAAACAATTGTTTAATATATTATACAATGATAAAAAAGTTTTCTTAGTTAGTATGAAAAAAAAAACTATTACTTTTTCACTTTCAGAATTACATAAAAGTGTTGATTACAGTAAAATTTAAATGGTGTGTACTATTCACAAGAGAAAATCAAGGAATATGACACTAGAAGAAGTATGTAGATTATTCATTACCAATTATTAAACTGTTCGTTGATATGAGTCATTCATTTTTTTATCGTTTGTTTACAATCATATATTTGCATGCAGTAATTTTAATTTTCATTATATTTAGCATACATTTCCTTAATATTTATATCATAATTTCAGGTCAGACAACTGTAGCATACAATGAAACACACATCCAGTGAAACTAGGCTGTTTAACGATTTCAAAAAATGTTTGATACTAAATTATGATTATGCGATCAACATATTATATAAATGTTGTGCATATAATCAACGGTACGATATCATTGTAAAAAAATGCAATACCAACAAGAGACTTATAATTTATAAATGCAAATAAGATAAAAAAAAAATGTCTCAATGTTTATGACCAGAAACTACTGAAAACAACCGGAAGTGAAACCAGATTTTCGCGCCATAGCAGGTACAGACATTTTGGTGTTCGGAGGACACATCTGGTGCACGTGTAAATCACAATATAAATAGTCTTTGCCCTTTTGGCGATGTGTTACATCGTTAAATCTCTATTTTGATGTGATCCGCACACAGATTTACCGAAATGGCCAAAGAACATATTAATTGCTTTGGAAACATGTTTGACGATGACAATTTTATTATGCAAAATGTACCGGAAATTTGATTAAACTATAGTAATCGTGAGTCATTGACACTACCGAGAGGAAGTAGCTAACCCGACTAGCTTCTTTATCGGACAAGCACACAGTACAGTTGGGGTAACACTATTTCTAGAAATGTTATCAATTTATTAAATGTAATAACAAAATTCCCATTTAGAGAGAATAAAATTGTTTGTAATTTTATATATACAATGAACGTTGATTGCTCGATTTATATTTAGTGATGCTATAAGTAATGATCGCTAAACAAAATTATTATTATTATCTAACATTTGGATAACCTTTTTTGAATGATAAACCTTACAATACTATTAGTATTTTACGTTTATGTAATTATAAAACTCGTACTAGGTAACCATATATTATAACTGAACTTATAGACAACAACTGATAACATTTTTATTGTTTTAATGAAATATCTTTTTTTTTTTTAATTTTGATAAATGAAAAAAAAGAGGCTAAACGACAGTTCATATTTGTCTCCGTTACTTTCCCCACATTAATTAACGTTATGCCAACAATATAGCGTACAGAATATATACACTACAGTCTACACTGCACTACTTAATATGTTTCAGTAATTTCAAGTTAATTTAGAGTAAACCAAAATAAAAGAAAAGAACGGGACATAGCTTTGTAAAAGTTTGCTTATAATCAAATTCTCTAGACTTTCAAACAAACCTATAAAAACACGCTGTAGCTATATAAATGTCATAATAAACTGAAACTACTTAAACACACCCTACTCATTGTAGTTTACAGCTGAACAAAAATAACTCTGTGCGTGATAATTATACTTGGAAATACAAAGAGCTAGTTTAAGACTCGTCAAACGCAGAGACGTACGGAAATAATGACATTTTTGTTTTTTTTTTTTGTAACATTGGTACAATATAGATCTTAATTCTGTCGATCGTCAACATTCTATGTATTCAATAAACTACCTATTCATAAATCTAATCTATGGTATGAATCGTTAAACGTATAACGATCAACAGCCGCGTTAAACCGAGTTTTTAGCTGTGATCCAACTTAATACGTCGCTTTCAAGTAAATTAATTGATTTATTACTAAATGCAAAGTTACCTTTACGAAATGACAATTGAAAATATTATGTAAATTTCATCTAACGAAATAAATAATAATTATACTATCTTATTCAAAATACCGCATAATTTAAGTAGTTTTAATTTTCATACTCGTATAAAGTATTTAATGATGTTATGAATTATTATTTGTTTATTAATCTATTCAAATATTATCAACGTGTTAAAATAATGCATCAGTTTCTGTAGAGGTAACTTATGTGTCAACATTTTCATATTTATTGACATCTGTGACTTATTAGTGAAAGACCGAAATTTTAGACCATGTTTTTTTTTTTAAACTATATTAACAGTTTCATACTTCATTATTATTTTGTGGCTAATAGAGTTGCTGTTTTTATACAAGTACATAGTATTATGTTTCCCTGGGGAACTAATTTAATGACAAAACTCCCATAAGTCCTATCTACTTTACCTCGACAAGCTCCGCGGTGACTTAAAAAAGTTAATTTGAACTTCGCAAGAGATATTAAAACATTTTTTTTAACACGTACACATCATATTCTCGAGCTGTTTATGTAATTAGTTAATTCGACCCAGCCACTAATTTTAAATAACACTAACTTGGTTCTTATTTAACTATATGAAAAAACGAACTAATAGCACTAATTAAAATTTAATATTCTATTCATTTTAGAAATATAATACATTTACAGCGATGAGAAATTTGTAAAATACAAATTTTATAAATTATGGTTTAAGCGTAATAAGTAAACAAAATCATTTAACCGATTTTAAATCTAACTGTTCATGACCTCATAAAAAAAAAATGTTGAGTATGCATGCGAATGAATGGCTTACTTTGGTTTTGACGCAAGTGCAGTTCACCATGACCGGGGTGGCATTCGGAGGAGAGCAGGCGCAAGTCTCGCAAATGCTTCTGCTTGTCGGTTGGGCGCCAACTCCACCGTATAGCGACAAGTCCACGGCGATGAACACCAACACCGCACACGTGCGTAAAATCATGATGCTTTGGATTATATCTTTAAATTAAAAACTGTATTTAAAAAAAAAAAAAAACCGATAAAATGATCAAAAGCAATTTTTTTTTTTTTTTTTAAACAAGCAGTTCCTCTTGAACCACGAAAACGATCGACTTTTGACGGAAATGAAATGTAATAAACACACACTAAACCCGCGTTTGCCTGCGCGGCCGCGTTGACTGTGAGGTACGCGTCGTGTGAACGGAGGGAGACCGGCCGACCAAGACTGCCGCGTGCAGTAACCGCTTACCGTTGTCGAACCCAGGGCGGATGTGCCGGTCCGGGCGCGCGACACTTTTCTCCGCGTCGCACCAGTAAAATAATCTCTACCTAATGATATTATAACGCCTGGTGCGTGCCGGGGAAATGGAAAAAAAAAAAAAAAAACGACATACTGCTGCAGTACATGTGCGGTGGCTTATCGCCGGCGCCCCCCCCCCCCCCCCACGCCACTCCGAACGCCACCTGCACGTCCCTATCCTGTTTGAACACTTGCGAGCGCTCAGGGTACCCGAGCGGCCGGTCAAACCCGTTTTACTGGGAGTCGGCGGCGGCTTAAACAAGGGTCGTGACAGCAAGACACGTGGCGGAGGGTTGAAGACGGGCCTGCGAGTGGCATTTTGTTCTGCGGCCGTGTGTCGAGAAAATCGCACGTTCCGCCGGCCGTTTGTCGGTCCGCTCCATCCGGGATAAGAGCCAACGTTCGGTAAACGGCCGTTAACGTTCCAAAGCGGTTCGAATTGCGAAAAAACGGCTGATGGGCGCCCCGCGGCGAGGTTTTCGTTCGGACATTTGCTAACCATAAGACGTCATCCGGAGCGCGTTAAAAAAAAAGAACCTTCGGGATTGTCGCCAAATGCATAGAGCACAACGAATGCACGGGTTGTGCAACTGGCACGCCGGGCTGATCGTTGACGAGCTGCTTAGCAAAGACCGTTCCGGACCCATAATGAATACCCACATTGCTTTAACACCGGCCAACAAAGAATAGTCGAAAAACAATAAACAAAGACCTCCCATTGTGACGCCATTATTAAATTGTTCGCTAAAAAACACACACAGATAAAAGTGTTATTATTATACTCCATTTTAATTATAATTATCAATTGATATTTCATTATCTAATTTGTACATTTTCACACTGCAGTTTATATGGAAATATTAACGATTTGTAAACTAATAATTGATATTATACACGTTTATATGTTTTTTTTAACTCTCGGAGTTAGTCTTTAAGTAGGTAATCCGTGTTTCAAATGTGTTCTAAATAATCCGAATTTAAACGGTTTTAACTACGCATGTAAACGTAGTAATAGTAATTAACCACATTTGTAAATTAATGCATACAGTTTACTTAAAAAATATTAATTCGAGATTAGTTTGGTTATAGTGCGTTAGTGGGTTTGGTATAGACTTAATGCGAATTAAATATCTAATACAATTCCTTTACTCAAACGGGATAAAAAAAATTAGATAAAAATCTCAAATTCAAATATGTACTAAAGTAACGTAACGTTTTTAATTAACTAGTTTGATAATTTTATATTAATGTTAGAATTTAACTTAATTTCATCTACCTTTGTTCTCCTCCTTCCGATGTACATTTAAAGGCGGGTTGGTTCGATCTAATTTTGCTTTCGAAGCAAATTATTTTAATGTGTATTGTCGTTTTTTTAATTCTAACTTAACTAAAATAAATATAACTAATTTTATTGATCTGTCAGGCTAGATGTGTAAATTATAAATTATAATCATACACGACGTACAACTGCATTTAATGAACAAACACCAATGTTTCACACCAGCATAGTAATATGCATACTCGTGTACGCAAACGTATGTACCTACTAATACAATTATGTTTGTTTAAAATAAATTAATTGCTCAAATATTGCTCAATTGTACTGTTGTGTACAATTTGCATAATAAATTTAATAAGTGATTAATTAAAATTATCAAATTCACCAAGAGTAAGCTTTGAACTTTTGAAAAAGAATTTCAAGGATATATTTGAAAAGAGGATGAAGGTCCCCACTCTTAATCTATTTTTTACTTATACTTTTTAATACAGCGTGTACCTATTACCGAAAAAATATCGATTCACCACGTCCGGCTCCCGTAATAAGACGTTTGTATATTCGGCAAGTCTAAGTATGATCAGTGTTCTATGATTTGGAGAAAAAGTAACACAATAACCGTCATTGAACCAAGCAAATCAGAAATTAATTAGATGGATTTAAAAATGCAATTTTTACAATTAATTAAAATTTATGAGACATAACGAGAGCACAATAAAGTTTTACATCGAGTAAGTATTACAAAGCTAATAATTTATTCATACCTACATCGGCACAAAACAAGAGCTCATTACTCTTGTAACTATTATTCAGACAATAAAGCCATATTATTGCTACTACGTTTAGAGTTACTTTAATAGTTATTCCTTACTTAAAATATGTTACAAATGCATTACATGAAATAGTAGGTTTTTTTTAATTAAGCCTATTGAAGCAAATGAACTACATGCTATTCAAAGCCAGCGGTGAGAGAAAACGAATCTTATATGTATAATAGCTCTTAATCAACGAACTATCTGATGAAAGAACTGTTTTTAGCAAATTAAATTATACACTAATGCATAAGACTAATCAAAACTATTTCAATAAGTTTTAAGAACTGAAGTTTAAACAATAAATTTGCGATGAAACAATTTGCAGGCTAATCTCATTTTGAATTGGAGATTAATTAAACTACTAAAATGATCAAATTTAACACATCATACTCAATACTTGAAGTATACATTTTCAATGTAGAAATACATATTATAAATGTATACCTTATATTATTCTCTATTACTTAAGGATATATATTTGCTTTTAACATTTAGTTAATTTTATTTAGATTTTGCTGATATGATTTAGAGTTATTTTATTAATTTACGTAACAAGCATATTTTTCAATTTGTTCTGCACAATGCCAATTTAATTTGCACTAAACATTTTGTTTTCTAACTCTTGAAATGTTATTAATATTACATTTTACGTGAGGAATGATTTACTCTTAACTTATACACAGTGTTTTATTTATGAATTCAATGTGTTTACATTTTTCAAAGATACAAATAAAAAACTAGAGTAATATTTCAATCAAATTTTATTTTTTATTTCATTGAATATCCACAGACAAAGGCTTGAATAACTCTCAGAGGGTTAGTATAATTTAATTTTGTATTGTTATGTTGAACCTTTTCGGTTTTCTCTTCAAATAATGTAGATGATCGAAGAATGTAGCCTTTTAATGTAAAATAATTACAAAAGTTAAAACTTTTATAAGGTCATGTGTACATCAAATATTTACAATCCTTATATTATGCTATATGATGTTTGGGCTTACAAATGCATAATATCTGAGTGATATTAAGAGCTTAATAAAGACTTATAGGTAAAATATATATACATTTTTATCAACAATGAGTAACATGTGAAGGGCACAGGGGAAAAACGATAGTAGACACATTATGAAAATTTTAGAGTATAGCAAAGTTCGTGAATTCCTCTCCCTCTTACATAAGAACAAAAAGAATTACATTAAATGCTATTCTAATAAAAAATGTATTTGTTTAAACAATCTATTGACATAAATAAAACAAATTAATGGCATAAATTGAAAAAAACTATTTGAAAAAAAAAATTTGTATGATGTGACTACCTTCCCCTGTGCCCTTCGTGTATTATATTGATTATATATTTCTGTTGTGTTTTTGCTGTAGATAATATACTTTCTATATTGTTATAATAATAGTTTATTGAACCCATTTCCTTTTTAATTCATTTACTATGGAAATGCGCCGGCCTGCTAAATCCCCTCTATCCACAATTCTCAAACTATAATTTGTTATTATTTTAGGTTTTAAGATCCCTGGATGTCTTGTACTAACTCGAAGAATTTCTTTCAAGTTAAAATTCAAACTGTTCGATCGACCGAACCGAATAATAGGGTTTTTGTTTACATTGTTACTGCATGATATGGTTTTATACTGTAAGGGGCACGACCTATGGTATTCTTATTTTTTTTTTTTTTCATTAGAGATCAGAATATGAAAGAAAAAAGGACATGTTTTCTGGAACCCCGTGGGCATTGATTATTAAAAAAAAAATCTTGCTTGTCCAGCTATCACTTTCGACAAATAACACGTTTGGGTTAATCGATCTTCCGAGAAAATAATACTATCAGACGAAATGTACCATCCTTTATTGTAGTAATCTTTTACCCAGTTTGTTTCGTTGCTTATAGTTGTGTTTTTTTTTGGAACCGTCCAGCTCGTTTAATTTGAAATATTTAGGCTAAAAATATTATACTTTATTTGTATTTGAATTATAATTACCACACAACAAAAAAAACGTTTAACTCCTGTTTGTCATGGATCGACAACAATTCAATCCGTTCAAAATTGTATTTAAATGTAACTTTATTTTTATAACAACGAGTGAAATAAAATACATTTATACTTTAATGTTGAAATAATATAATATAAATGTATATAACTATTAAGTTCCACGCGATTTTCTAATAAAACGTAAATGTATTCTTGTGTTTAATTTTGTTTTTTCGGTAAATATCCGCTATTCCCATGTTGTGTTTTATATCATAATTAACATATTCCATTATATTATTCTTTATTTAAAAACACATCTATATTAAAAAACACTTAATCAATAACATTTTTGTAAAATGCAAATGTTAAGCATGTATTATTTTTCAAACCGTTTTGACTATAATATTTATATTACTATATTTTATTTTATTCCTATACTTTGACTATACAAAATTATTTTTATATTTTGTTTATTTGGAACTTATTAAAAAGAAAATTGATAAAATATTTGTTATGGTCACCCCATAATTTATTTTCAAAATGATAAAACCGCAAACAACACTTACATATAACTACGACTAACACAATTAATTGATAATATTTTCATTTATAATTTGAATAGAATTTAACTTTTTGATACAGAACTCCAGTTATATTGTTATATTATTAACTATTATATAAGTCCTAAATTTGTTTTAATGTAAATTTATTTAATATTGGTCCAAACCTAACAAAAATAGACATCTAAAGAACCATGCAAAATATTGTTTAACAAGGTGAGAAGAGACATCATATTATCTGGAAAAAAGGAATAGTAAAAATAGTGAAAGATCTGATCCGTTATAAATCTGTTAGGAACAGTGAAACAGTACCCAATCCTCTTTAATTATGTCTGGA